AATTCTCACACGAATAAGCGAACTTGTCCTGACCCCACTTTCCCACCAGCTATGGGAAGAGAGCTTCCATTTTTCAAACCGCCTGCAGCAAACGCGGCGGGGAAAGCACGCACACGCGAGGCCTGCCGCCCGCTTCTCCCGGCATTCTCTGCAACCACTCCAGACACCGCCTCCACCGCCGCCACACGGAAACGGCCCTCCTCTAGGTCCTAGTGACGCCCGCGCTGCACATCCTGCCCCAGCTCCTGGTCCTCATCTGCAGGCGCCATCGGCAGCATCTGACACTCGGGTGGTGCCCCCAGCAGCCTCCAGTCTCTCCGTCCTGGAGCTCCCAGCACAGCACGCATCCTCGGTCACTTCTCCATCCACTCGTCTGCCCTCAGTGACTTCACTGGCCTTAAATGACACGGATGGGCCAGCTCAGAAGATGACTTGGGATCTCTCCCGTCCCACCCCACACCGCTCTCTCCTCTCTGCCTTTCCCGCTCACTCGCGGCTACTCCATTCGTCCAGCTGCTCAGATCAAACATCTGGAGTCGCCCTCGGCTCCTTGCTCTCTTTCACACCCCACGTCCCCCATGTCACAAAATCCCAGGCTTGGCCACGGTCACCGTGCACGCAGAACCCAACCACTTTGCACCCCCACGCTGGTCTGCGCTGCGGCCCCATCGTCCCAGCTCCACAGCACCAGCCTCCAAGGAGTTTTCCTGGATTTCTTGGTCGGTCCCCTATTTCCTCTGCTCAGCGTGGCACTGGTGCTCGAGAAGGTGGCGCAAATGCTGACCCCTGGCTACTGACCGTATCCTGGAAAAAGTCCTGTATCTCCGGCTGGGGGGTCTCATTTCTTCTGTTTCAGGCTAACTTGTCCGCTTGCCCATGGGGTAAAATCTGGAACTCTTCACATTCGTGAGAATTACATGCAAATAAAAATAACTGAAACACAGTAAAGGTTTTGCCTTCTTTCAGAGCCTCTAGATCTTACCACAATAAGCTTTATTCACAAAAACTATGAACACCTGCATGACCACAAAGGTGGGTAAAAAAATTTAAAGATAACCATGTTAAGAAAAATGGACTTAAAGGTGTCAAATAATTTAAAATTTAATACATTAAAATGAATGTATAGTTATACCAAAAGTTCTGATAAGTATTCATTCCCACTTTGCAGGCCACCTCAGTAAAAATACAGGGCGGCACCGCCTTGCCTGCGGGCACCGAGCAAACCCTGCGTCTGTCTTCCCCTGGAAACAAGTTCATCTCAAACCCGGACCCTGCTCTCACAGCATGTGACTCAACAAAAACAAAACCTGCAAACACTCAGACATTAAGCCTGCAGAGAACTTTCACCTGCTCGTTCCTAAGCATCTTCTATAACTGTGTCCCAGCATTCCTACTGAATAGGAAATTGAATAGGAAATCGTGTAAAATATTAACGGAGCTGCCTTGTAAGAATTAGTTAATGAAATAAACTCCCTCCTTAATTTTCTAGTTGGAGTTTTAACATGTTGGATTTTAAAAAGGAGTACACTTATATAACCATTCACCCCCCCCCATCTTGATATATGTGCATACTGAATGTTAATGGGCATATCTTTACACCTTTCCAAGCACTTTTCGGGGTTTGGGCTGAGAGCACAGCGGATTCCATAAAGCACCTCAGCGCTGTGACTGCCGATGACAAAGAATGACCTCATTGTTTCAGCCACCGGGTAGGTAGCATCCTGGGAGAATTTCTGACAAACACTGACACAGAAGTAGTCTCCGAAGGTGTAGCTCTGGTTTTGTTTTCGTTCTGCGGCGAAGTCGCTGACCAGACAGTCCAATGACCAAGTTCCTTCGTTACTTTCGTTACATCCTTCAAAATTTCAGGTTATTCACTTATACACAAAATTTCTTAACCATACTGAAGTACTGAAGCAAAATCGTTTAACTCTTAAGAGCAACAGGCACATAAAAATAACTAACAGCCCTTAGATCTTAACACAGAAGCTCCAATTTTAACAAGCAGTTTGTCAACCCTTCAAATGCTTTTGCGGAGAAGATGTGAGTTTTTTCATTCAGCTCACATTAGAGAATATGAGCTTTCAGTTAAAATAATTCTTCCACATTTCTTATTAGTACACTGAAATTAATAGCAGGCTTGGGATGCAAAAGAAATCCCCATAAGATTTACTAAATGTATGTTAATGGCAAATGCAAACTTCACTCACTGACCTTTAGAGATAAAGTGGATCCTGAGGTACAATCATCATTCAAATTAATAATGCAGCCCTATTAAGCAAACAGTATAAAAATCTCACACAACGGAAAACTTACGCATTGTAAAATGATAACTGTCGAATGTGATCATCTATTATAAACTGCCAAACATGGGAACTCTCGATTTTACAATGATCCCACTTAAAACAGTGCACCGCCCGCTGCAGATCAGCGGACCCTTCATATCTCACTTACAGGGAACCTGGGGACACAGGTGCGTCTCCATGACAATGACGAATTTGTTTAAAGGGAAATTAGATGTGAGCTTCCCCCGGGAAGCAAAAGGCTTGAATATTCACTGATGCAGGAAAATAAACACAAACTATTAAAAAGAACAAAAAAAACTTTAAATGAACTTGAATACTTCTTTATCTCCACTATTCCCCCTCCCCACAAAAAAACACACAAGGACACTGAGGAATGGCAAACAGATAACAGTGTGAACCGGCTTAGAGAGAATGAAGAAAACTGAAATCTGAGTTTCCCCTACTGGGAGGGAAGGCAGTATAAAGAGGCATCTGAGAAAAGGTATCACAAATCCGAAACAAGAGAGTCATAAGCTATCTATTCTATTAAGTGGGGAGAGGCCCTGGCTGATGTGGCTCAGTGGACTGAGTGCCAACCTGCAGACTAAAGGGTTGCCAGTTCGATTCCCAGTCAGGGCACATGCCTGGGCTGCAGGCCAGGTTTCCAGTTGGGGGCATGTGAGAGGCAACCACACATTGAGGTTTCTCTCCCTCGCTTCTCCCCCCCTTCCTCAATCTCTGAAAGTAAATAAATAAAATCTTTAAAAAAATAAAAATAAAAAGTAGGGAGAGAACAGTTAGCAAACAAATCCTCCTACAGCCAAAATTAAAATTCAAGAAAAAAGAAAAAATTGAGAACATTTCCCTCCCCACAAAGCTAATTTTACAAAATTGAGGTGGAAAAAAAGTTAGAAAATAATAATGTATCAATTCGGGCAGTCCAACATGTAACACAGAACTTCAGTCCAAAAAAGAAAAAAAATTCAAGGGAAAAAAATTATGAAAGAAATTTTAAACATTTTCCCAAAACCAAAGATTGCAAGTTTACAGAGTCTAAGGACCCATGGAATGGTCAGCACATCCAAAAAAGAACAAATAATCATCAGGCACATCACCGTAACATGTTAGAATTTCGGAAATGACACAAAGGTCCCACAGGGCATCCAGGGAGAGGACGCGATGACACCCACTGAGAGCCAGCGCCCTGCGGATTCCGGAGACGGACCTTCCACGCGGCACAGGCTCTCAGCCAATGACTGCTCTCAGCACCCCAGCACGGGTGTGTGACTGGCTCCAGGTGACGGACTGTGACCAAGCGTGACATGCGCCACGTCTGCGGCAAATATTTCAGTGCCGGCCCCGTCCCGCCTGTCAGCTCTGTCTGCCCCTGCTGTGGTGGCCCGGGCCACAGGGAATGAGAGGGGGCGCCGGTGAAAGCAGGCTGAGCCCAAGGAAGATGCCAGAGGAGCCCAGGCCGCAGCAGACGCGGCAAAGGCGAGAAACGCACCTTTTCTTGTTGTGCTGAGATTTCTGACTTAGGCTGCCACTGACTTAAACAGCAGCCTAGAAATCTACATGCAGCCAGACTCCAAATCCAACACTGAGAACACAGACATTTTCTGACATGCAAGGTGTCAAACACTCACACACATGACACCACCCTGCTCCGCCATCCCCCATCTGGGAAATCACCAGAAGGATGAGCTCCATCAAATCGAGGAAGGAAACTAAGAAATAGAAAACAGGCAAACCCTACTTGGGAAAGAGGGGGGAAGAAAACTCCAGGAGGATGATACAGCTCGGGTTTGATTCCCCCTGTTTGCGGGAACAGTCCTATCGTCACTAGCCCTTCCCAATCACACACAGGTCACCCTCTTAAGAGCCAGCTTTGTGGTGACATCTGCCATGAAGACACAAATCCAAACTCTCCTGCTGCCAGGAGTCAATGCGACACCCTGCACCGGTGGTACCAGCGACAGGCAGCAGATTCCAGAATCCACTGCGGGGTCTGTCACGGGGTGTGGGACTCTGGCCACTCGGTAACCACTCCAAGTCTCGGCCTCCTCATCGTCTGGGTGAGGATGAAGCCGGTCAACCCTCAGCAGCGTCCTTCTGAGTCCACAACGCAGGAACCCCACCCGTGTGCCGAACCACAGACATCCTAACACAGTCTGGTTCCCGCTTACACAGTCTGAGTCTGTGATACCTGGTAACGCCGTTACTCCCGAAGTCCACGTGTATGGGGGAGGGGTGTGTGTATGTGTTCATCTTTAAAAAACGTCAACGGGCAAAAACGACAACTGTCAAAAGGATATTTCCTTCAAAACCAAAACTGAGTAAACAGCCCACGAGTAAGAATTCACCTCCGTGTACAAGCGGATCGCTGCTGTTTCGACCGTGCAGCGGGTTGCAGGGGCGTCCAGCACAACGGCCGTCACCGCAAGGACAGCCGTACACAGCACCAAGTGAGAGTCTGTCGGGAGCACCTGGTGAATACACCGTGTATTTAGAACTGTGTAGACAGTTCTGAAGAATAACGTCAAACTCTTCAAATTGTTCTTCATGAACATCTTACCGAATAGGACCCAGATATACCTTCTGCTTTCTGGGGGAAAAAACAACAACTTTCAACACAAGTGTGTGTATTAAATATAAGCTCACACTGCCACGAAGCTGCGGTAGGGAGCACGGGCCTCTTCGGACAACTGCACTCACCTGTTGGAAGTTTCAGGACGGCATGGTGACGCCGGCAGGTTCGGTGACACCGTCAGGTTCCGTGACGCCGTCAGGTTCCGTGACGCCCGGACGACGGACTGCTCGCCCCCCAGGCCTTCAGAGCGTCGGTCTTGTCTTCTGCTCTCTGTCTTTTCTACTCCACGGTCTGCTCCCCGGGACAAGGGGGGAGCCACCGCTCCCCAGACATACTCTTGGAGTGTGATGCCCTTTTAATGATTAAAAAAAAAAGTTCAGTGTGACAGCTGTTGAGAGTGATCAAACAACGTGAAAATGTATGAAAACCAGCGTGGGGCTTGCAGAAGGACACGGGTAGGACCTTTGTGTTCTCGACCCCTCGCTCACCACCATGACCCAGGGCCAAGCAGCCGAACCGCTGCTCATATCACAAGCCCCTGTCACCTCACACCCAGAGCAGCTGGGCTCCCATTCTCCCCTCTTTCATTCCCACCTCCCTCTGTCCCCACACAGGGATTCCTGAACCGGAAAGGCCGAGTCTCATGTAGACGTTGAGGATACACAAGGATACTACTCCTGTTCACCAGTCCCAGAATATTTTAAACTAACTGTGACTAGTTGCACTGGTCCCATGCCAGGCACCGAACTCATACACTTACACCCATTATCTCACTTAATGTTCACGCCAAGGCTGAGAAAGGCACGATTTTACAGACGAGGCAAACGAGACTGACAGCTGATTTCAAAAACCTACTCTGTGAATTTCTGCAGAACCAGACAGGGACCCTGTAACCCAGGGCAGGGTTCGGATTTTCCTTGAAACAAAACATGCTTACCACAGCGGTGTCACCTTGGCCCCCACTTTGGCCACATGAGAGGAAGAGACTCAGAGGGGACAGAACACCTGTCCAGGGTCTAACAACAACACACACTCTTTCTTAAAGATCTAACACGCCCAAAACGTCCTCTGGGCGCAACGCGAGAAATGAAATCTTCAATGGCTTCACCTACTACATCTGTTATTGAAATTTCAACACAACCAACAGCTGCCTAAAAACAACTGTTCCAACTCAGTGAAATGTGATGTTTGTGGGCATCATCACAGAAGACACTGAGTTTAAAGTAAGATGCGCCCTGAGTCCTAAAGCCTTCACTATGTATTGTGCTCCAGAGAATAATAAATCCACCAGCAAACGGGTGCCAATTTCACTCTCAGTCCAAAGGAATCGCGTCCCACTGCGTTTCCAGTTTCCTGCCTAGGTGACTCTTTTGATCAGCCCCGTCACACCAAAAAGTTTGGCCTGCCTGTGACATACACTAGCTATTATAAATGCCTCCCTTGTAAAAGGTGTAATTTTACAAAAGTACTCCGGCACGACAGGTGCACGGTCCCCAAACTGGACGGGGCGAGGGATGAGGACAGGGGACTGAAACAGACAACCTTCACGTCCCTTACAAGACGCCCCAAGCAGGAAACAGCACGAGGCCATCTCAGCTCAGGGGCGTGTACCTGTCTGCCCTTGTGAAGTACTGAAGGGATGCATGGACACCCATTAGCTAGAGTGGATTATAAATAAAGGCCACACTTCAGCATAGTTGTGTGCCAACCCATTTCACAGGGCGGCATGTTTCTGAGCGAAAACAATGACTGCCACAAACTGGAAACGGACCGAACGTTTTCTTTTTTCAGAATAGCTTATGACTTTTAAAGAAGACTGCACAGTAACATATGCAAGCAAAATAAAAGGTACTTAACTACGAGTAACACAAACGTTTCCTGACACGTGACCACAATGTTTCTACTAACACTGTTTCTACTAGTAACATTGTTTCTACTAGTAACATTCTTAGTTACTACTAGTAACACAAAAGTGACCAAACTCCCCAAGTTATCAGTGAGGAGTGAAGGTACATAACAAGACAGTCTTAAGAAACTGGCTTCTGTTCCCTAAAAACAGGGCCATTAAAGGGAGCCCGCAGGACCCTGGGCCCCGAAAGGAGCAGGAATCTGGCCAGGACAGGGGAGCTTTTCCTCGGAGGTCAGGTACAGCCCAGGTCAAGGGCTCCCAGCCCCCTTCTCTGCCACTCCCTGTGAGGCACTGCCTAGAAAGGGCAGGGTGCCAGGTGACGCCTGGAGGTGTGTCCCTGGATCCTCTAGCAGTCCCGTTTAAGGTCCACCAGTCTTTCCACAGAAAGAAGGGGAAAGGAGCCCTGGTAGGTGCCTCAGCTGGTTGGAGCATCATCCCCTAGATGGAAAGGTTGTGGGTTCAATTCCCAGTCAGGGCACATACCCAGGTTACACGCTGGATCCCTACTGGGGGCGCACAGGGCAGGCAGCCAATTGATGTTTCTCCCCGCCCCCCTCCCCCCCAGTCCTCTCTCTCTAAAAGCAATGAAAAAATGTCCTGGGGTGAGGAATAAATAAAAAGACAGGGAAAGGAACAGCATACTTCCCCCACCAACTCCTAAGATATTTAAGGACCAGAATAAGGAGGAAAGTGTTTCAAAGAGATGAGGAAGGGAGTCCTAAAAAGGACAGAGGTTCGGGTGAATAACCAGACAGCTTCCCCCACAGCAACCAGAGAACATTGGGGTCCCTGCGGAAATCTAAGGGCCCGAAAGATTCTGAACCTCACCCACCATGTGGGCTTCCAGGTCAAGCAGCAGGGAGGAGAACCCCGAAGTGGGGAGAGTTGTACCCCGGGCTACGTTTGGGGGCTTTACCGGTGAAACTTGGTCAACCGTGCTGTTCGCGGTTTTAAAGGCCACTCGACTGTCCACAGCACTAGATATTACCCCTTAGAATTCATTCATTCAGGGAAGTGAAGCGCATTTCATGCCGCGGTACGTGCTGGGTTAAGGAAAGAGTCCAGAGAAATGCATGCCTCCCAGGGCCGAGAACACCCCGGAGACTTCACCTGGCCGGACAGGGCAGTTCACTTCTGTTCGATTACGAACACGTTTTCATTCCGAGGAACCCGTTCGATGAGCACCCTGTTTGGGAACCGTTCTGGCTCGGTGCCGTCGCCTGGTCCCGGGAACGTTCCGGGCACCGAGTCCAACGTTGGGCGCTTCCTCCCCGGAAGAGCCCGCCTTCCACCGCGTGTTCCCACCGGGCCCTCAGTTCCAGAAAGTGGGGACGGAACCCCCATCCCGGCTGCACGTGCCCCGCACGGAGGTACCTGCACGCGCGGCAAGTTGTGGGCCAGGACCCGCACCGGGAAACGTCAACGGCCCTGCTCCGCCGCGAGCCACCTCGGTGTCCCCGAAGTTGCCAGGTCCCGAGGCGAACTGGGAACCGCGGCCTGCCCCGGTTCCACCTCCGAACACCCGCAGCCCCGACAGTGAATCCAACCAGCAGCGCCCTGCGGAGTCGCCCGGGGGCCCGGCCGCGCCTCCCCGCTCGGGCCCCGCAGATCCCGGTCCCCGGGCCCCGGCACCGGGGTCCGAGCGGGCCGAGCGCGGGTGAGGAGCCCGCAGGCCCCGCGCCGCCGCCCCAGGCCAGGCCGCGCCCCGGCCTCTCCCCGGCGGCTGCGGGGCCACAAAGGCGGCGGCGCGGCCCGGCGCGCGGCGGCCCCGGAGGCCGAGGGTCAGGCGGGCGGCGGCGGAAGCAGGCCTCGGCCCTCCCCGCCGGCTCCCCGGACGCCGCTCCCCGCCCGCCGGCCCGCGCCCAGGCGCAGGGCCTCGCGCCGCCCGGCCCCCGGGCTGCACCGGCCTCCTCCGGGCCCGGCCCCGCCGCCCCGGGAGCAGCGCCCCGCGCCCGGCCGCCCGACCGCGGGGGGCCGGCGGACGCCCAGCCCGGCCCCGACCCTGCCCCGCAGACGCTCACCGGCCGCGGCGGCTCCGCTTCCTCGCCCAGCGCCGGCGCGACTGCGGCGCTCGGCCCGCCTCCCCGCAGCTCCTCCCCCGCCGCCTTCCTCCCCCTCCTCTTCCTCCTCCTCCTCCTCCTCCTCCTCTGTGCGGACCGCCCTGCGCCCACGACTCGGCCCGCAGCGCAGGCGGGCGTCCGGCGCGGGGACCCGGGCGCGCCGGGGGCGGGATCGCGCCGGGGGCGGGGGGCGGGGGCGGCGTGCGCCCTGCGGCCCCCGGGCTGCCCCGCACCTCGGCGGCCCCGGGCCCGCCCTCCCGCGCCCCCGCCCCCGCCGCGCTCCTCCCGGCGGCTGCGCCTCGGATCCCGGTCGGTCCCCCCACTCCGCTCCCCGCCTGCGGGCCCGGGCCACCGGGGTCGGGACCCCGCCGGCCCCCGGGCCCGAGGCTCGCTCACCTGTAGCTGCGACCCGGGCCTGTCTCCGCGGGGAGGGAGAGGCCCGGGCGCCCGCGGGAAGCCCTGCCCGCACCTCCTCGGGCTAATCGCGAACTGACTTGTTCAGAGAAAACTTGGTCTTTGCCCCAAGCCGCCCGCCTCCCCGCGGTGTCCTCTTCTGCCGGGTTTTCCTCGAGGGCGAGTTCGCTCCGGCTGCGCCGCTCGGTTCCAAACCGCGATGCCGGTCGCTTGACTCATTTCTTTGGAAATGGGCCGAACGCGCTACTGATGTGTGGCAGCAACAACAGGTTTGATTTTTGTCCGTGGGAATCAACAGGAAACGGTTTGCTTCTCTTTTGAAGAAAAGCGATTGCGGACAAGTATCGTGAAAGTCCAACTTGAGTTATTTTATTGTTAACTTTAAAAGTTGTGTCTGGAATAGTAGGGACCTTTTACAAAAGAAACCAATAGGCTAAGAGGAAAAATTCTTAAAGTCTTTCACGTGTGAATTGATATCTGAATTGTACCTCAATAAAGCTGTTATTTAAGAGAGTTCCAGTAATTGATCTTCACTCCGATAAATGTCTGATGTACAATACTCACTAAACACAAAACCTAGACTAATAATTAAAAATTGGATTGTCAGGTGACTCCATTGGTTTGTGTGACCAAATAGTATATACATAAGGTTGATGTCACCCAGCAAACCACGGTAAGAGCACCTTCTTACCCTAATTTAGGTGGAACTCGCTTCTCAAATATCCAGTCACAGTGGGTGGAGGCTGACAGAATGGTCAGCGAGGTCAGTGGCGAAAACAAGTAGTAACCAGGAAAGAAGCAGACTCTCCCGCCCCCACACCTCTTGTTTCCAGCCCTTTCGGAGGAAGGCACCGGGCAGATTGGAGGACCTCGGGCACAAGCCTGGGTGCCCAGTCTCCAGAGCACCTGGACTGGGAGGCTGTGCAGCAGGGCCGGTGAGCACTAAGCCAACAAGGAGCTGAGCTTAGGAGACAAGGTCAAGTCTGAGTCTGGTGGAGCAGGTCTGGCATCTCCACTTTGGTAATTCGTGCAGTTGTGTATCCTTAACCAAGCTTCTCAGGTGTGACCTCAGTTTCTACTTTCATAGAAGGGGGTTGGGGTAGGGGAGCGGCTTGTGATGTTAACACTATCAAGTAGTCGTGAGGATTATATGAAACAATGCACAAAGGCACTTAATGTTGGTGCCTGATCCATACCGATTATTAATTACTAGTGATGTATATTTTGTGGGCCGGGTTTTGCATTAAGTTCTGTTGTATATATTATCTCCCTTAATTTTAACCATTTAAAGGAGATAATATATCTCCTTTGAGACGTCAGTATTATCCCCACATTACAGAGGATGAGATGGGCCCCTTGTATGTAAGCATAAGCAGTAAGTACCTTTCCCAAAGCCACACTGCTACCGTGCGAGAGCTGAAATTCAAGCTCAGGTCTCTCTCACTCCAGAATATGAGCTCTTACCCAGGGAATTAAAACAATAGCGACAACAGTATAATAATACAGGAACAACTTTAGTGTAGAGAAACTAGTGACTGAATATAGTATTAAAACCTCCATTCTTGGCTGAATTCCAAACACTCATTGGTGGACGCGGGTGTTTCATTGGCCCACCATCCAGCCTTCCCTTTGATCAGCCCTCTGGGGTTGGAGAGAAGATAAGACTTTATCTCGGGCCCACACTCAGCACAGCTGGAAGGTAGGCCCCTGACTGAGACGCTTCCCAGAGCTCTGACACTCAAGCAAGTTGTGCAAACGTGGGGATATCTGGGAGCGGAGCGGGGACCAGATTCACCCTGCAGGGGTACCTGGACCGGTTTGTTCTTAGCGCCAGCCCCCAAGAGCCTTCTAATAAATCCCTGGTGTGCTCAAGATAATCAGTCACTGTCATCTGCAACCACAAATACTGTCTGACAGATACACTTGGTGAAAGATGGGGATGGCAAGGGTCCTATCGAAAGCGTCCTGACTCAGGCATCGGAGCAGAGTCCCTCTTCTTCCTGAAGTCAGAGCTTACAGAGCCAGGGGGACCCTCAGTGACCCTCCTGCACATCCGCGTTTTAGAGAGTAGGAAGCAGACACAGAGGTCACAGGACTCGCCCAAGGTGACAGAGTGAAGAGTGGTTGAGTCATGACTAGCACCGCTATCGCCCAATTTCAAATCTGGTTTGATTTCTCGCCATTGGGCGTTTCCCCTTCTTCCGGTAGGAGAAAGGAGAGGAGCCTAGAGTTGAGAAAACCGGGTGACGCAGGACGGGGTGCCCCAGGCAGCCTTCCAAGGGCACCCTCTGCACTGGCAGTGCCCCCTGGGACCCGGGGGCAGCTGCTGGGGTCAGCACAATCCCACGCTCTGCACTTCCCTCTCGCCACCCGAGGTCCTCTGCCCGAGCGTCGAAAGCGTCCTGCACACAGTCCCACTTCCCCATTTGCTACTTCTGCTCAGCCAAGGAGTGTTCCCCGAGGTCACATCCTTTCCAGAACCTCTGAACGTGACCTTGCTGGGAAGTGAGGTCTACGCAGATCTGCGTCGTTAGTAGGAGGGCGTTGCTGGAGTAGGGCGGGGCCTTAACTCAATGTGATGGGGTCTCTGTCAGAGCGGGGACACGGAGGCAGCCGTGCAGCAGGGAGACCACGTGAAGGCGCATGGAGAACGCTACAGATGTTGTGGCGAGTTGGTGGTTCGTCCACAAGCCAGGGATGGCGGCCAACCCCAGAAGCTAGGAAGAGGCGGGAAGGATTCTCCTCTAGAGCTTTGCCAGCTCCTTGACCTTGCCCTGGTGGCCTCCAGAACCACGAGAGAGTCTATTTTCATTACGTGATGCACCCAGTTGGCAGGTGGCGGCTGTAGGGAAGGAATGCAGTGCTCCTGGGCCCGCCCGCCCCTCCCCCAGGTCGCCCCGTTCTTTGTCCTGAAGTCACTTCAGTCTCCTCCCAATCACAGCTGCTCTTGCGAGTTCCCAATGACCACTGTCACCGTAGAGCTGCACCAGGTTATAATAAATTCTGTGCTCACTCTGCTTTCCACCTGAAGTGTAAAATGGAGACTCAGTTGCCTGGTATTCAAGGCTCTCAGAGGCCTCTGCTTCCTCCTATTCCACTTTGCAGGGCCGAGCCGCGGAACTCCACCTCCAGAGAGCCGCAGCCCTGGGCTTGGAGGAACTCCTGCCTTTCTCCTTGGCTGGAATGTTCTTCCATCTCACCCCGCCCTCTCGATTGTTTCTGTATATTGCAAGCTTACCCCTCTTCAGTCAAGGTTCAGATCCGCCCCCTCAGAAGTGAGGCAGGCCTATTTAGAATCGCCACCTAGGCCAACCCCTTAGAGCACACCTCATGCTATGCCCTAAACTGCAGCAATTCTCTTCTCTCCTGCTCTGAATGCAGGTGTTTTGTTTATTCTCTTTCTGTTATGCGTAGGAGTGCCTTGAACAAAGACTTTCCACACAATAGGGACTCCAGAAATGTCTGATGAATACATATGAATATTCCATTCCTCTCTCCTGTATCTGAGAGTAGCCTGGTAATAAATAGCCATTCAGAATGCTTTCAAAGACTCCCTTTAAGATAGAGCGGTGGCTGGCTCATCCTTTGGAAAGTGAGAGCACCTGATTTCCAGCATAATTATTAAGGGAAATATCTGTGCCCTCCTTCCCATGAGCAGCTGGGTTCTGCTTGCTGGGAACATGATGACATCAAAGTGAAAGACGCCCACCACCCAGAACCAGGAGCTCTGGGGATTTTTTATAAGACTTTATTTATTTATTTTTAGAGAGAGGGTAAGGGAGGGAGAAAGATAAGGTGAGAAACATTGACTGGCTGCCTCTCACATACCCCCAACTGGGGACCTTGCCTACAACCGAGCCATATGTATGCCCCGGCTGGGAATCAAACCAGTGGCCTTTCAGTTTGCAAGCCGGTGCTCAATCCACTGAGCCACAGCAGCCAGGGCTCTGAGAATTTTTAGGGCCTGTCGGGTGTGTGGGTACCAGCTTGTTCACACACAAAGAGAGTGCTTCAGCCAAACAGTGTTCCCAAGTGACAAGAGTCTCTGGTACACCAGGACCAGCTTGACATTCTCTTCTGTTTCAGATCAAACATTTTTATTTGTAGACAATTAGAAGAAATACCTTATTCTTGTCCGCCCTGTCTACTTCCAGGACCCAGACCCCTCTGACTGCTGAGAAGTCTTTTGTTATGTCAGGTTAACACAACCGGTTTCATGCAAAGGGACCCAGCAAACCCCCATTATTGTCCTGAAAGGTTAATGGCACGTGTCTGCCTCTTCTGGAAACTGAGGAGGAGGGGCATCCTACAGTAGAGAGTAACGTCTCCTAGAACTCCTCCCTATTCACCGAGCAATGGAAGAAAGAACTGGAATTCCCCCTTCCTAGGCAGAGAGCCAGAGCGCCCGTGGCCTGCTCAGGGTGGCCTTGAACTACCATCTCTTTCCGGGCAGACCGCTGCCTGGGTAGGCTTCCACATCTTAAAGCTCCCTTCTTCGTGGCAAGAGGGAGTGCGTTGTTAGCGTACTGAATTGCAAAGCTGGAAACCCACTTCAGGGTCAGCTTTTATGGATAGAACAAATTGGTACCCATATGTGTGATTCTAAAGCAACAGAAAGGCCTGGCAAACCAGGAACAAAGAAGAAGAAGAAAACACTGTGCCCCCCCCAGAGTTTTAGGGCACTGACTAAAACTCTGTATCGGAGCTTCGTTCCTTGCGATCGGAGACATCAAAGTGCAAACACCTCCCTAGAAGCAACAGCACATTTAAGTGTCATCAGTTCTTATCACCCTGTGATCGTGTGTCACCATCATCCTGATCGTCAGGGCATTTTTAACTTTCTTATATCTGTGTGTTCCCCAATTTACCTGTGCAATTCCATTCTAACAGTTTATGTGTAATTTAGATTAGAAATTCAATTCACAATTCAATGTTTTTAAGGAAAAATGCAGCGTGATACATGGTCACTAGATTCCCAAATGAAGCCTATGATAGAATTAAGTTGTGCAACTGGAATGAATATTAAGTCTCCCCAGCGATCCCATACGGCTTATGCCACGTGAAGGCTACCCTAGTGCA